TCTCTTAAAGAGAGAAATAGAGGACATAAAAGGTGTCCAGTTTCGTATCAACAGAGGACAGAGGACAACCGGATTGTCCTCTATGATGGCCACCCTAGATGCTATACTTAAGACACGATTAATCAAAATATGTATAACTTTGTGACTGGCTCTCATTACACCTTAAATTGAACATGTGGCTAGCCCAATCAGCCTCCCAGCCTCTGAAGTGCATCAGAGCCCTCGATTCTGGTGATAAGAGTGCTGATCAGATGACTGGTACTTCAAGACAAGTGCACCAAACACCTGGCTTGCTACTTACCAGTACAGGGGGAGTCTGGGATCATGAACACATGTAGCAAGGCAGGAGATGTCACTGTTGGATTGTGGATCAGATTCCATTACATCTTTAGTTAAACATCTGCCAGGAGCCTGCTGGCCCCATTTCCTGAGCCCTTCTCCTTGTAAATATACACCAGTTGCCCATTAGCCCCTGTGTGCCTACCACTCACATTACTTTACCACTGTTAGGGGCTTAATAAGGGAAAGGAGTGATAGGATCTGATGTGTGATCTGCACAACTGAGCTTCCTGCCATAAGATCGCATCACACCTTATTGCCAGTACAGGGGTAGCTCGGGATCATGATCCCAGGTTCCCCCTGCAGCAGCAACTGGGAACCTGGGTTAGCTGACAGGGTGCCAAGCCACTAGGGCACACCATGTGCCCTCCTGGCTGGGAGCCTGGTCAACTTACCTGGGCTCCCACCTGCTAGGCTGCATGGCACTCTGCTGTGGCTGGGAGTCCAGATCAGCTGCAGGCTCCCAGTCATGGGGCAGCATGGTGCTCCCCTGCAGCTGGGAGCCCCATCAGCTGATGGGGCTCCCATCCACAGGGACCCACCTGACCACACATTCAATTAATGGTGGGATAGCAACCAGTCACAACATGGTGATACATTTTTGTGGAATAACTTTGTGGCTTATTCCTTGTTTTATCACACCATTAACTGATTGGACGTGTGGCGGGGTTACGACTTAAGACATAATTAGCTGGTTAATCACATCTTAAGTATAACATGTGGCAGGGGCCTTAGTGTGACATTCTGCTGTGACTGTTACAGTGTTTTAAAAAATGCGATGCTATCCTTCACTTTAAGTCTTGTAACCAAGCCTGGTAATCTTCTTTAAAAATATGTTTTAGTTTCAGCTACACATTACTGAATTTGATGGGACAAAATTCAATGGCCTTAAAATCTATAAACACTTCTTACATCAGGTATTCTTTTATGACATGCATTTGTCCAGAAGAGCAGAACAATGCAATAACCATGTATAAAGGTAATTCAAACAGGTTTATATCATATCAGAAGATACAATTATCATGGCTATTAACACAATTGCACATATTATTAACAGTATTATTAAGAAATAATCCAGAATTCCATCTACATGAGTGATTAAAATTATCACCTGTAACCAGACACACAGCAGCTGATAACATAAGCATGCCAACAATTAATGCATTATATAAAAGGCCCTGCTTCCTTTTTTTAAGTATTTTAAATGCCATATAGTAGATAGCCTTGGCTCATGTAAGCATCATTATTTCCTTTCATAGAAACGTTGCATTCATTTAAGTGTATTTCTAAACAACTCAGTTCAAATACAATAAAGTATTTTTGTGTGAATTTTCAGTAAGGTAAAGCATTATTCTCCTTGAAAGAACTAGTCATCCATTTAAAGAGAGACAAATGCCATCATGAGTGCTTCAGATAATACTTAACATAGAGGACATATTCATTTCCAGTAAACATGCCCACCTCTGTTTATTTCATTGTCAACAAATGTGTTCTCTGTTAAAAATAGAATGTTTATAAATATTATTTCTATAGATTTAAACAGTAAAATAAAGTCATACTAAAATACAAATTCTATTAACATATATTTGCAATTTCAAATGATGATAAACATAATTTATATATATAAGCTTATTCATTATTTGTGTGTGATTGGATGGCTACACAAACACACAAAAACAATGAATTAATTCTGTCAGACAATAAGAGTAACATTTTAATTTTAATCACTTCAGTCTTTACTGACAACCTTTTTTGGTTTTATGATGTGCCAGAAGGTCATCAAGTTCAAGTTATTTCAGACCAGAGATCATTAGAGATGTACCATTGCTGCTATTAGGAGTTATATAAGAGATGGTTAAAATGTTTCTGATGGAATAGTTTTCCAGTGAAAAAGTCCTGATTTAAAAGGATCAAAATGTTCCATGGGAATATGTCAATTCCAATGAAATGCTGACAGAAAACAAGCAGGTTTTCACCAACCTCACCTTCCCAGCTCCCTAGGTTTTTTGGACCTGGTCCTGCATTTGCAGCCTGGGCTTCCAGTTGCATGGACTCCTTGGCAGCCTGGTTGACTTTATGGGTCCTCAGAAGCTGATAAATGGTTTTGGGGTGTGAGTAGTCTTTGCCCAGTAATTAGGACTGACATCTGGAACCACAATATGAGTTGAGGGTCAGGACCCAGGGAAAAAACCAAAGTATCAGCTACTGGACAGGAGACAGCAGCAGAAATCAGGACATAAGTCAAGAGTCAGGAGTCAATGGCTATGTGTATGCTGTTTTCTGAACAAGCCTAGGCACACCACTGAGAAACACGTCCCTCTCACTTGTGTCCTCTCTGCACATACCCAGGCCCACAAATTTGTGGAGTAGATGGCTTGGAGCAGTCCTGTGACAGAGAGAAAAAGTGTGACATTTATGGGATGTTCTGAACCATCTACTCATAAATGCATGGGGCTGTGGCCTAAGTGTAAGTGGGTAGGGCTTATTTCTTGCTGGTGGTCCCAGGCTTACCGAAGAGGTGATATAGATATACTCAAAAGCCACAGTAGGATGCAGTTCAAAGACCAGATGAGCTGCAGGTGAGAGCAGAAATAAGAGACTAGAAATCAGAATGGATATAGAGGAAGAAAATATGGACACGATTAGGTTTAAACACTGACAAATGGGTTTGGTATTAGAGACTAGAAGGCGGCATTGGAATAATCACTAAAGGCTTGAGTGTTGACCTGCTGCCAGGTGCTGTACTAAATACTTGGATTGTTCTTCTCAGTAGCCACAGCCCTGCTGGTTGACCGGTGCTTTAGTTGCCTCAGTCAGCAACACAAAGGCTAGCTCATTCAGCTAACTTTCTATTGTCTCACAGCTTGGGCAGACTGCAGCTGTCTATTAGCCCTGTGATCCTAACAGATAAACAAAGTAAAATGGTTAAGTCACTACTAAGTTAACATAGCAGCTGTTTTTAATATCCCAGATAAATGATTTTAGGAAAACACAAGAATATTATAATAACTGTTATGCTATTTAGAATAGAGTGAAACTTCTTTTTTTTGTCATTTTTCAGTCTCCTGTTTGATGTTGGTGTAAAACAATTTAACATCTTCACACTTCAAAAAAAATTAATACAAGATTTTTCCCTCTGAACTAACTAGAATAGCAGCTGGCTTTAATAATTTTAAAACACAACATAAAGATTAAATTTAAATACATAAAATGAAATGTAAAGCAAATTAAACTGAAAACTAAAATCATTCCAACTAAATTTAATGAAAAATAACATAAAATACAATTTAAATGAAACGTCAATATTGAAACATTTTTCATCTAAATATTACATGTTCAAAACAAAACTTTTCATAATTCTTGTTCAGGAGATTTCAATATGTAACATTTTAAATCTAAGTTGTCATTTTTTTTCAAGATTTTAAAATTTCTCTGGAATTGGAATTTCAAAATTCTTCTGTTTCTACTACAGCACAAAAACAGACTAAGTCCATCAAGGATAGTTGTAGGTCTGGTTGTCCACGAAGAATATTAGGACTCATTGAATAGCATTTTAAAAAAGTCAAAAGTTGGCATAAAGCACTAAAAGTACATGGTTTGTTGCATCTTCTTTTAACATGGATATAACAGGTCTACTTACCCATAGAACTAGCCTGCTGACAGGACTTAATGTCTAATCCAGCATCATTTGGAGTCAACATTAATATTTCAGTGGGCAGTGGATTAGATCTTTGGGCAGTGAAGCTAAATATGTATATTAAACTTGTCATCATATCAGTAATACCACAATAAATTTATAGTAATGCAATATGTACTTTGAGATAATATGCATCTCAGTTCATGCAGGATAACACTCTTCCAGTTCAGATGTGGTTATATTTGGTCAAGGATAAAGACACAGCATAGTAATATTTTACCTCAATTGTACGCAATGTATTATTTTTAGTTGATGTTGCACTTTTAGGAAATTTGGCATAGTGAAGTTGATCATCCTGTAAGTAGTTTATTTTTGGCTCAACATTAAAATAACATTGTGGTTTGAAAATGAATTAATGGCATGTGATAACATAACCAAAAGCCTGGTTTATCCTCAACCCCAGATTTCTTGGGGCTGTGCCAAATGCTTATTGGTTTATCTCCATCTTCAATTCTATTTAAGAGAGGGTGAGAGATGGAGATGAAAAACAACTAATTATTAAAAAAAATAGAATTGTGGACTAGAATATATATTAAAAATCAGTTATAATCTATGGAAAGAAACACCTGAAGAACTCTAGTTGAACATGGTTAAATGCAACATACAACTGTTTTAAATATGGGACTCTGTTTTCCTTGGGCCTATGTAGTTGGCAAATCCACATTAGCTGTGGATTTTGTTTAATGCACAAATTAAGAAGAAAAGATAAAGTTTAGAAAACAGTTCCATCAGCATAAAGAGAGAGAACGTGAGAGAGCTTTTTTTTCAAAAGGTATTTTTCAACTAGATTATTTTCCCCATGGAGTGCCACTTAGCTAAAGGGGAAGTGGGATGGCATATAATTCTTAGCTGGAACATGAGAAATAGGCTGAGGTTCAAGTACTCTATAAGGAGTTTTCTAAACTACATTTACTTTTTAAATAAGCTCTTTGATCAGCAGTTCAGCTTCTCCTTTCTTCTTCAGAAGCCATGAGAAAACAGGAATTAAGCACCAGCAAAGGAAGAAAATTGACAGTGGAAACCAAGCTAAGGATTATTCTGTGATGTGAGTTTGTTTGGATTCGATAATACAGAAGCCTGGTCTTAATGGGAGTATTGCCCAGCTAAGGGCTTGCTTGGCTGCATATCATGTCAACAAATTACAACTTTTAGCCAGATTCTGAAGTTTGCAACCGTAGCAAAAATGGGTCATTTTGTGTCCTTACTTGAATTGATAAAATGTCATTGATTTCAACGAGGCTTGCACAGGTCTTAAACCAGGGTGTAAAAGCATGGATTAGTTTTTTGTGTTTTATTATAGATACCCTCTTACTGCAGAAGGCTAAAATCTGCTAATCTGTTTCAACCCATTTATCTTAAAAACAACTCAGTTTCAGTAATATAGAACAATTTCAAATTTAGTTTCAAGTCACTCCATTTATGTACTTCCATACAGTATTAAAAAAAGAGAATACTGAAGAACACCTAGTACCAAATATTTTTACATAGGAAATTTGAAAATTTTATATTGTATATACTGTGCCATATTTCTGAGGGGTCGGACAATCGCATCTTTTCTATTTTCTTACTTTTCTAGAATAATGTGTCCTGCATGCCCAGGATCAGAATAGAACACAAACCAAATGTGCAGCTACATAAAGGCAGTATACCATTCTCATAAATGCACAGTGAGCTTTCAAAATATTTTTTTATTTGAAAAAAAGTAAGGGTTCTATCTTTTCTGGGGAGGGGTTAGGGAGGGGGGCAATGGGGTGCTTGCTTTTTTGTTTAAGTTCTACCTTGCAAAAAATACAGCACCACCATGCATTGGATTTTGGCACTCCCATTTTCTGTACAGAAAATTTCTAATCTAATTTACCAGCCCTGTTGCTATGCAGTTCCATAGAAATTTCCCAATTGAGTTTAAAGATACCAAGCTCTTTGTTCAACCTTGTTTCAAAAACATTTGATTAGAGATGCAATGAACTGTTCTCCATAATGGTACACCCATGGGAAAAGGTACCTCAGTGTCTGCCAATTAAGTTACAGCCAAAGAAAAATAAGGACAAGGGCAGAGCACTGGCACTAACAAGCAAAAAAGAAAATGCTTAAAGACATTGTGAACAAAATGTAGTATTTTAAAATAATGTCTAGATTCTTTTTGATGTGGAAAGGCTAGTCCTTTATAAAAATCTGGGAAGCAGAAAGAAAGGACTTGGACAGGAGATAAACATAATGCACTAACATTTTTAAGACCTTTCCCCATCGATATTAGCCAAACTCAATGACCCAGAGGGGTGCTATCAATACTAAACAAGCTCAATGACCCATAGAAGTGCTTCAAGGCTGGGCCACTCGCCCTGTAGCATCCAGTAGAACAAAACTAGCTGGTGTTTGGACACCATGGGGATAACGAGATGTTGGGAGCTAAGTTAAAAGTATCCCTTTCAGGATTTTGTTGTTGCTGATGATTTTAAATGAATTTAGTGGTTGTGAAGGTTTCAGCTCTACAAAAGTATGAACATTTTTATTGACAGAATAATGTGTCATGCACCACCCCTATCTACTGTTACATTCAGCCACCAAAACTTCTCATCCACTGCCCCACCCAAGATCAACCTAAAGTACTCCAGAAACAAAGTATCTGGGATTAGCAATGACACCACCCAATGAAGAGGGAGTAGAGGAGAGAGGTAGATGTTACCTGCCAGTGTATATTTCATGGGAACTTGTAGGTCTAACTGATGCCCTTCATTTAAAGTAGCTGTAAGAAGTAGCAGAGCACTGCCTGCCTTACATACAATATAAAAATGAAGAAAGGACTAAAAAAGCTATTCTAACAGATTCATAAGTCAGCAAAACAACCACATGTCCATTTAAAAAAAGTCTTCTCATTTATTCTCCCATTAATAGTTATATAATGGCTAATCTTAGCAGTATGGCCCAAACTTCTCACTTGTCCATAAAGCACAGTGCAAACACTAGGATACGTAAATAACAGTAAAAGAATAGAAAGAGCTAAAACACTGGAAATGCCAGTATAAGTTCTCATGTGATTATACTGCAGGTACTGCAAAATCATTATGATATTCCACAGCCTCTTCCATCTTCTTCCAGCCAGAGGACTGTATCTCCCATCTGACTAAACTCTGAGTCTGCCAGTTATTCATCATTTGTGACTGTCAGGATGTAGCACAGAAGTCTACAGAAGTTAGGAATGAAATCTAAGTTGTTAAAAAAATCAAATTGCAGTGAATCATTTACTCAGTTACACATACCCACAGTGCTCCAATTCATTTCTTATTGATTACACAATTGAGTTCTAAGACCATGAACAGATATGTGTTTTTACCAGTGGAAATCTCTCAGAAATTTCCACCTTAGAAATCTTTCCAGGAGAGGGAGCATATAGATGTTCAGCCTGCAGCTCCATTCAGTGCCTGGCTTTGCTTCACTGGCACTGCCCAGCTTGGGAAAGAGGGTGCAGGCTTTGCTTCACTGTTCCCGTCCCCTTCTGGACCAGTCTGGGGTACATACAGCCGTTACATTTAGATCAATCTACCCAGGGTCTAAATGCTGATCTGTGCAAGTGTCCATAGAGATTAAACTGAGCAAAAAAGGTGGATCCAATTTAAGTTAGTTCAGAGGAGGTGAACTAACAGATCAGAAATATGTTAACCTAAGCTATCAAATACACCAAGAACTCAGTGCATAGATGTTCTCCAGGGCACCCCTGGGGAAGACCAGGAGCAATGTATTATATGTAAAATTAAATGGTTGCCAGATGGATACAGACTCGTGGAAGGTCGCTTCAGGCTCAATTCCAGGAAAAACTCTTTCACAGTCAAGGTGTCCAGACTGGAATAAAGACCCTCCAGTGTTGATGCAGTGACCTACCCTGGAAATCTTCAAAAGGAGACTGGACAGTCACCTCACAGGGGTCACTTGACCCCAGTTACCTTTTCCTGCCTAGTGCAGGGGACTGGCCTTGATGATCTACAAGGTCCCATCCAGCCCCTAACAATCTATAAATCTATGAAAAATGACTGTGTTCAGAGCACAGCCCCATGGCTGAGAAAGCCCAGCCACTTGCCCCAGCCCAAGGGCTGTGGTCTTCCTCTCTCTCCCCCAACCCTAACTGGGTTTTTATCCCCACAATCCCTCCACCACCTGACAGACAAACTCCAAAAATATCACCACCCCCACCCCCTGCAGGTCTGCTAGCTCTCCCAAATCCCATCCCACCCTCCTTCCCTCCCCCCCCCACACCAAGCAACTTACACTGGTTTCGCTGCATGGCTCCTGGTACTGGCAAGTGGTTGTACATGCTACTTCTACTCCTGGCCTACATTCAGTGAATCTCTTTTGGAACTGACTTCTGCCTGGTTAGAGTTGGTTTATTTTTCTCCTGGAACTGCCATTTTTGGTCCAGGAGAAAGAGTAAACATCTGTACAATTTTGGTTTCTACCAGGAGAATGACAGTTCTCCCAGTAGTAATTGAACTCTTGTACATAAATGATATGCTAATTCAGCAGCAGAACATCATCCTGTATGAGAGGAATATAAGAATTTAAGGTGTGTCCCAGGCCATCAAGTCCAGCTTTACAGGCAGTTGATTACCCAAGGAATCCCCAAGGTAATGACCAGCAACTGTTATGCTTCAAAAAATATGTAGCTGTTGATCTCAAAAATGAGACTTGTGTTCATGAGACAAACAGCATTTGTGGAAACTGGTTCACTAAGATAAAACTCACTAGCACACTAAAACAAGACTCTCATTGTCTGACCAAAATGCATTTGAATGGGTGGAATTAGGATTTTGAAAAGGGGGGTACAAATGCTATGGTACATTATCACATACAAGACAACACATATTTTTATGAAGTTAAAAAGAAACTAGAAGCTTTCCTAATAAGTAAGTGGCCTAGGCTTATATTATTCAGCTTAAGACCAGAGCAAAAACAAGTATACATTTAATAGAAAATACATCCATTTGTTGTACCTTACATTATACATAAAAATCAACCAAATTTAGGTAAAAATAATCAAAATATGGTGTTTCATTAGTCCCCCAGTCATTATAATTAAATTGACGTCTGTTTTTTGGATTCATAAAGTAAAATCTAGCCTTCTTGAGCATCTTGACAGTGCATCTAATGCTTCACTGAAAGTTATTTCCACACCTGAGTTAATGTTTTTTAGGTAGAGTTAAAAATAGTTAGCTTGATTACCTGAACATCACACCATTAAAAAGGAGAGGGTCATTAACACCTATGGAGTAAAGAAATGAGAAGGAATCAGGTAGAGCACAATGAGCCACAAAGTCAGTTGACTCTATCACTACTATCTGAATAGAAATGCTACTGCAACTGCCTGAAATTTGGTTTAAAATTTGGGGTGGAACAGGAACCAAAGGGGGTTACAACTGCATCACTGTACCCCCTCCCTGCCTGGATCTCCTCCTCTCCATTCCTTTCAGCTATCCGCAAATACAAAACAAAGGCAAAAACAGAAACGCCTATATCTCAGGGGTGGGAAAAATATGACCCATGGAGGGACTTTTTTCAGTCCCACAGCAGGTCCCTCATTTCTGCACACAGGGGCTGGAGTGGATCCATGGCTAGATTGCATTTTTAGGCATCCCAGGTGACAGTCAATCCTTCCAAATGCTGCCACTGCTGGCCCCAGCCCTGGCGTACCGGTGGGGATCTATATGCAGAGCCCCAACCATAACCCACCCTGTGCCTGTCCCAGACTTTCCCTGGCTGGAGTGGACCAGCTCCAGACCAGCCAGGACCCATGCACACAGCCCCAACCCCAGCCCACTCTGTGCCTGTTCTAGACTGCTCACCCACACTGAACAGCAGCAGCAGTGATAGTAGCCAGGCAGAAGCTAATGCTAGGCACAGGGAAAAAGTGACCACCTCCCCCTTGCCACTGTCAGGTGCTTCTTGCTGCAGCTGCCCAGAGCCTGTGCCTGGGCTGTCCTGAGGCTCCTCTC